TTCATAAGGGCCCCCAAATTATTCTCCCTGAGCCCACTATTAAATAATTTGGCTTCCAGAATAAAAAAAATGAAAATATATTTTAAGAGTAAGGGTCAGGTCATTTTTTTTTCCCTTTCCAATGTTGAATTGGCACAGTGACAATGAAAAGAAGCAAATACATTAGCCAAGTTAAAAAGAAAAAACTTATGAAAAAGCGATATATCCTTAAAAAGCTAATCCTCAAAAGCAAAATGGCTTCTATATTAAGCTTTTGCTACCGCAGCAATTTATCATATATTTTCATTTCTACCAGTTTATTTCATTTCCCATTTAAAACAGAAGTCAAATAAATTTAACTACTCATTATATACAAAACTACAACCTTACTTAATTTTAATTATAATCTATCACAAGTTCCCAGTATTTTGTTTTTCTGTGCTACACATACAAGTAGATATACATATAAACATAAAATATGCATTATCAGAACTACCTCTTATATGGCATCTATATGTGTGTGTGTGTGTGTGTGTGTGTGTGTGTGTAGTTTTGTTTTTCAAAAGAATTCTTATTTAATTTATTCAGAAATTAATCCTGAAGAGAATTCATAATGGCAAAATATTGGAAATTCATTCATAAAAGTGAATAAAATTATAATCTTATTCATAAATTATATTACTTAAAAGTAAAAATATTATAAATCCTTTAAAAGCAAATGTCATATAACATCCCTGCATGCAATTATTTTTAATCTATTTTATTCTCAGGTAATCTAAATACAGGGTTAATGTCATGAAATGAAGTCAAAGTGATTGGACTGAATAATTATATCAATGCAGGAGATGTTCTTTTTTATGTGATAAGATTACTTGATAATAAACCCTTCACAAGCCTATCTATATCTCTAGGGGATTTGGGTATTAAAATTTAATTTAAATCTTGGTTGAAAAATTCTGTGAACTCTTCAGAGAAAAAGTCTAAAGTAAATGCAAAAAAATTATCATCAGTCAGTCAAAGCAATGCTTTTGTTTTTCCCCTAGAGAACACAATGTAAAATTTATGGAATTATTTTATTATGCAGGAAAATGTTTATATATTATGTTTCCAATGGGTTCTTTTACTATGTACCATTCTATGAAGTCATTATGTATATTTGCCTCTTTGAAATAGTTTATTAAAATATTAAGCCAATAATTATCTCATATATGTCAGTCTGATAATATATATATACCCCCCAAAATAAATATTTGTATATAACTAAATATATGCTAGTATATTTAACCATTCAATATCTAAAATCTGTATATCTTACTCTATTGAGCATAAATATATATGAGGATATTAAAAATATTATTGATTTTCAACATTATTCTCAAGAAATAAGTTTATTATTATTTGAAATATTAAAATAGTTGTGGTAATATTTCCATATTTAAAGTGGGAAACTGTTCATCTTCATTACATGATTGCAGTTCTTGTTTCCATGGCAACTCCTTCACTTCACTGTGTTAATAATGATAGACTCACAGCACTAGAAAGGCTTAGAAAGTATGAAATAGAATGGTCTCAATAAATTAGGAGTTTGAGGCACAGACTCACAGATTTATAACTTATCTACTGTTAGTCCAGTAGTTAGTGTCAAAGCAGGTAGTATAAGGTAGGTCTTTTGGCCCCCATTCCAGAATTATTTCAACTATATTATACTACCTGCCACTATTCTAAGCCAATTGACATTAAAATTACACACACTACACACACACACACACACATGCAAACACACACATATATATCCTATGTAATAAGAGGACAATATGCAAATTGACCCTAATGTCAGAACAACCAGGAACAACAGGTCGCTATGACACCAAATGACCACCAGGGGGCAGATGCTCAATGCAGGAGCTGCCCCCTGGTGGTAAGTATGCTCCCACAGGGGGAGCTCTGCTCAGCCACAGCTGGGCTGATGGCTGCAAGCGCAGCAGCGGTGGCGGGAGCTTCTCCTGCCTCCTTGGCAGTGCTAAGGATGTCCTGTAAATTTTCCATGGAAACTCAAATATCTCTGGGTATATCAGCTAGCTTGGCTGTATGTATGCCTGATGCCTGGGGTGGGAGGCACTAAAAGCCTAATTCCTAGCAGTGCTAAGGATGTCTGACTGTGGCTTAGGCCCCTGCCCTCGGGGAGCGGGCCTAAGTGTCAGTTGGACATCCCCCAAGGGCTCCTAGGCTGCCAGAGGGATGTCTGACTGCCAGCTTAGGCCTGATACCCTAGGGAGTGGGCCTAAGCTGGCAGGTAGACATCTCCTGAGGGTACCCGGGCTGCCAGAGGGTGCAGGCTGGGCTGAGGGACACCCCCCCCCATGCATGAATTTTCATGCACTAGACTTCTAGTGTGTGTGTGTGTGTGTGTGTGTGTGTGTATGTACACACACACTAGAGGCCCAGTGCACAAATTTATGCATGGGTGGGGTCCCTTGGCCTGGCCGACAATCAGGACTGATCAGGGCCGTGGGGGAGGCCTGTGGGATTGGGCTGAATCAGCTCTTTGACATCCCCCGAAAGGTCCCAGATTGCAAGAGGGCATAGGCCAGGCCAAGGAACCCCACCAGTGTACGATCGTGGCTGGGGAGGGATGCAGGAAGTTGGCCAGCTGGGGAGGGACCACAGGAGGACTCCAGGGCATTCCCAGCCTGTCTCACTCAGTCCCAATCAGCTGGACCTCAGTAGCAAGCTAACTTAGTGGTCGGAGCATCTACCCCTGGGTGGGCAGTGCATGTCATAGCAACTGGTTGATCAGTCAACTGTCTGGCCCCTGGTGGTCAGTGCACATCATAGTGAGCAATTGAGTGGCCTTAGCATATCATTAGCATATTATGCTTTGATTGGTTGAACGGCCGATCTGTCGACCAGATACTTAGCATATTAGGCTTTTATTATATAGGAGATATATATATATATATATCACCATAGCCAGCAGTTTGATTGAATAGGCTACTTTAAGAGTTAAAAATACCCTTTTATGATTTTTTTAGGCAAAATAAAAATATTGTTGTCATTGTGACATGATAACAAGATGACTTGATGGCCATGGATGTAGGACACTAAAACAATTTTTTTTAAGGGGGAAAATCAGTATTAAGCAGTGATTTTGTATTCTTAATGTCTTAAACTTATTTTCTAGAAATTTTTATTAATCTTCCTGAAGGTGCCTACTGTTCAGGAATTTATAGTTATAAACAATTAAAATTATAAAAAAATATTTATTAATAGTCAACTTATTTTATAGTTTCAATTTACTAAGAAAACATAATTCTCCTATTTAATCAAATATTTATCTATAAATAACAGATTCTAGAGTCTCAATATGTGCCCCGAACACAGCAGTCACTAGTCCTTGTGTTGAACCCTTGAAATGTGACTAGTCTGAATTGAGATGGACTGAAAAAGTTAAATGCACAACAGGATTCAAAGACAGTGTCCCAAAAAGGTAATGTAAAACATTTCAATTTTATATTGATTATATGTTAAAATATTTATAATTAAGTAAAACGCATTGTTGAATATAATATATAATACACTGTTATAGAATATTATACACTAGAGGCCTGGTGCACGGATTCATGCACCAGTGGGGTCCCTCAGCCTGGCCTGCACCCTCTCACAATCTGGGACCCTTGGGTATGTAGTAGTGTCAGAAGTAGCAGGCGGCTAGGGAGGATCCCAAACCCAGGCTGGGCACCTGACAAGGTCGCTGCCACTCAGGAGAGGCTCGTGCTGCCACAGCGCTTGCCAGCTGTGAGCCCGGCATCTGGCACCCAATGGTCAGTTGAGCAGCACTCCCAGTGTGGGAACACACTGACCACCAGGGGGCAGTTCCTGCATTGAGCATCTGCTCCCTGTGGTCAGTGCGCATCATAGTGAATGATCGACCGGTTGTTCTGTCATTTGGTTGCTTAGGCTTTTTTATATATAGATAATACATAATAATAATATAATTGAACATATCTATAATAATAAAAGCATAATATGCTAATTAGACCAGACATCCTTCTGGACAAAGCCAGGGCTGCAGCGGAAGGATGGAGGCAGCCGCTGCGGCTGCAAAGGCCTACTCTTGCATGAATTTCATGCATCGGGCCTCTAGTCTATACTAATAATAGCCTAGGGTGGTCATCACGCCCTCACGCATCATGCCCTAATGTTGTCACAAGATGGCCATCACAAGATGGCCATGTGCACAGCAGAGGCGGGGCCTGCCAAAGGAGGCGGGTCGCGGCAGGGGAGGGCAGTTGTGGGCGATCAGACCTGCAGGGAAGGGAAGTTGGGGGCAATCAGGGTGGCAGGCAGAAGAGGTTAGGGGCAATCAGGCAGGCAGGCAGGCTGGCAGGTGAGTGGTTAGGAGCCAGCAGTCCCAGATTGTGAGAGGGATGTCTGAGGGGTTCCAGATTGGAGAGAGTGCAGGCCAGGCTGAGGGACACCCCCCATGCACAAATTTCATGCACCAGGCCTCTAGTAATAATATAATATTGAATATGATCTGTTTCTTTTTAAATGTGGCTGCTAAAAAATTTTATATTACATATGTGGCCTGCATTATGATTTTCACCATATTTCTACTGCTCATCACTGGTCTAGTCCAGTCTCATTTCCTCAAGTCCAGAGCCTACCCTGCATTATCTAACATGACCTTTTCTTTGAACCCTCTTCTGATCTCTCCCATCAGGACATGAGTTCTCTCCTTTTCTAAATTCCAACAGCTTGCTTCTGATCCTCACCAATTCTATTCTAACATCACTACTAAATGCAAGCTACTGGCAAATAGGGTCTGTGTCTGGGTTTGTGTATGTGTGCAGCTTGCAAAACAACCTTCATGGAGCATTACTAAAGCTTCTATTAGAAAAGTAAGCAAATAAACTTATAAGAAGTCAACATATTCTCAGCTCACTTTTGCTCAAATAAAGTTGTCTTGAAGGGTCAGAATTTTCTAAACTAGGTCTATGACTTAGTAAGAGGATACGTACCAGCTGACTCTCAGATACTGTAGATGATGGTGAAGAGAGGTTTGCCTGCAAAATATAAACATGGCATTTATTTAGCAAAATTTATAACTTACTAAAATAATATATCTATGTTACTAAGTATTTTGAAGTTCTTTTACTATTAAAGTAATAGATATATCCATTGTAAGATTTTGAAAAAGTACAAAATTTAAAGAAAGATATTATTCTGCCACCAAAAAATGCATTTTTGGTACATTGTCTTAAAATATTTTTCCTGTGTGTTTTTATTCAGCTCACATAATAATGAATATGATGTTTTATATGTTGATTTCCCTGAACATCTTAACCTAAGCACTATCACAAGACATCAAAAATTCTTCAAGGTGCTGGCTGGAGTGGCTCATCATCCTGTGCACCAAAAGGTTGCCAGTTTGATTCCTGGGCAGGACATATACCTGAGTTGTGCGTTTGATCCCCAGTTGAGGAGTACACAAAAGACAAAATGTTTCTCTCTAGCATTGATGTTTCTTTTCTCTCTCTCTCTCTCTCTCACTCTCTCTCTCTCTCTCTCTCTCTTTCTCTCTCTCTCTCTCTCTCTCTCTCTCTCTCTCTCTCCTTCCCTCCCTCTCTAAGCATGTCCTTGGTTGAGGTTTAAAAAAAATTCTTCAAGATCACATAATATTTCATTCTCTGCATACTCCACATTACTTAAATATAGCAGCATTGTTGTATATTCATATATACTTATGCAAATTGAAACAAAAACTTATTTTTCTTTAAGTATCTTTATATAAAAGTAACCCCAGAGTTTTCATAATTTGTGAAATAAAGTGATTTGGTTTTTAGTTGTTTTCAGTTAAAGAGGAGGTCATTATTATTTCCTTATCCTTTGTTTATGCATTTCACTCTAGTGTGGATTTAGTTTCTTTCTTACTGAAGTAAATTCTTTGGTAGTTTTTTCAGGCCTTACTGTCTTGGACTTTGAAAATATTTTTATTTTGTTCTCATTCTTGAATGGGAGTTCCACTGGACATCGAATTCTAGGGTAATAGTCATTGTCCCGCAGCATCTTCATGGTACTATCCCACTGGCTCTGGCTTCTGTTACTGCTGTCAATCGAAATGTCATGACTTGGCAGATCAGCTGTCTTCACATTTGTTTAGCATTTCAGATTTTTCTCTCTGACATTCTGTAATTTCACTATGATGTGTCCACGGGTGAGTTTATTTTTATGTATCTTTTTGGGGAACTTGGTTTATTCATTTTGAGCGTGCATATTTTTCTTCAATTCTGGAAAATCCTCTATGAATACCTCTTCAATTATTACCTTTCTCCGATTATATCTAATCTCATCTTGTGGAGCTTCTATAAAATATATGTTGGATCTTCTCAATCCAGCATCCATTTTTATAAGATTCCCTTTCATATTTTTTTATATCATTATGCTGCATTCTGGAGGTTTTCCATATATAATATCAACAGTTAATGAATTTTTCTTCAACTGTATACTAGTATGTTTAACACAATTGAACTTTTATTTAATGAATTTATTTTTAACTAGCAGAAGTTCTATTTAGTTCTTTTTCAAATATGTTTTATGACAACTATAACTCCTAACGGTTTTAATACATTTGTTAATTCTTTCCAGATTTTTATATAGCCATCCCCGCATTGCTATTTCTTATATCTGCTGACTCTCTCTCTCTCTCTCTCATGCCTCTCCCCCATGATAATCTATACTCATTTTATGGCTTTTTTAAAGTTTATCTTTAGTCAGGGTAACTGGTGATGAGTTCTGAAGGTGTCTGAGAAACCCTGAGTTGGAAAACTATCTCTACAATATATTTCAAATTCACCCTTGTTGAATTTTACTGGCTCTGGATCTGTTTCCATTTTATTTTATCACCATGATATTTCTAAATATCAAGGGTGACATATCACCACATCTTAAATTTCACAGACTTAGGACCTATTTCTTATGGATATCTATTTTACTACCCAAGAGTATAAGGTAAAGACAATAGATGGATTTATCTTTGTTCTGTTTCTTTTTTATATCCAACATCGACTTCTAGACTCCTGGATGTGAGATGGCAAACCCCCTCTCTGCTTGCACCACCATAACTACGCCTCAGCCCCTGTAATCTCGCTGGCTTCTTGGGGCAAATTGACAGTGAGAAGCAGGGGAGGTCTGCCCGCATGTGCGCAGCACTCCCTGCCTGCGGTCCAGGAACTTTCCCCTAGGACCGTGATGGCGAACCTGTGACACCTCTGACACGCGAACTCATTTTTTTGGTTGATTTTTCTTTGTTAAATTGCATTTAAATATATAAAATAAATATCAAAAATATAAATCTTTTTTTACTATGGTTGCAAATATCAAAAAATTTCTATATGTGTCACGCAAGAGTTAAGTTAGGGTTTTTCAAAATGCTGACATACCGAGCTCAAAAGGTTTGCCATCACTGCTCTAGGAGCAAATAAGGAACCCAATCCTCCTTCTGTAGCCTAGGCAACAAGCCTTCAGCATGAATGCAATGGGTGTGGAAGGCCGGTGAAATACCTGGAAGCTTAGCATGTATCATAGAAAGAATGTCTAGAATGTGTATATATACCATATGTGGGAGACATAGAGCCTAGGGAGATATATAAGGCCAAACCCGGCTTTGCTCGGAGCTCAGCCTCTGGAGAGGCCCCTGCTGAGCCAGCATTGGTGCCAATAAATAGTCCTTTTCGGAATCTCCAAGTGCATTTGGTTTGTCGCTTCCCGCCGGGGTATGATTTCTGCCATCACAGATGTACACAAAGAATTATTTTACAGTTCTTAGACTTGTTATGTAGTGAAAGTTAAAATCTAAACTCCTGCCTGCTAGCACCTAGGTTCTGAGGTACCTATGTCCCATCACGCTTTAGCTTTTTCTTTTCTGTGATACTTTTGCCTGGAGCTCCCCTTCATTTCTGGCACTCGGAGGTTTACCTTTCTTTTAGGTTGGCTTACGTAGGCATATTTTAACAGTTATATTTTAACAAGCATTGCTGCATTTAAACGGGAGGCTGAGCTCCCACATCAGCTAAGCCTTCACCTTTCATGGGAAACAGTCAACATACAGGTGCATAATTATAAATATACTTAGCTAAAATATAATAAAGTTGTGTTCCTAAATATTTCTATTCTTTTTAAAATGGCAAACATTTGTCAGGATTTATTATAAATGTGTCAGTATGGCTTTTCCATTCTGAGAGCTGAAACATACTGAGAACATTGAAAACTTGGTGGTTCTTACAATATTGCCAAGTACACTGTAGAGGCATGTGAATCACCAAACATAATGATGAGGCACCTGCGGTCCTTGTTTGCTTTTTGTTTTTTGTGTCATGCCATTCTTCAGGACTGTCACTGCTCGCCGCCATACCTGGCGGCAGGCTGCCTTGGCTAAGTGCCCCTGTCTCTAATTGCTGTAGACCAGGTGAGTGTGCACTGATTAGTCATTGCTGCAGAAAACGCCCTACAGAGTGTACATTACCATGTTCTTACAGTAGGCAGCTAGTTAGATATTAATAAAAACAGAGGGAGCCAGACATCTAAGTGGATTAATTAGGAAGGTGCAGCTTCACAGACACTCCAGAAAAGAGCCACATCCTCCACCAAACACACTCCAATCCTTAAATAGGCAGGAAAGACCAGCTTTCCAATCTCCTCAGGGAGCAATGGGCTCCTCCCCTGCTGCCCCCCCCATTAAGCAGGGAGGGATAAATAGTGAGGGGGAAATTCCTCTGTTGAGGCATGGGCAGTAGAAGCCAAGATGGCACTGCGGGAGGTCCTTTTACTATGAGGCCTGCACAGTAGGAGCAAAAATGGCAACCATAAAGGTGAGGAAAAAAGCCTGGGGAAAAGATTGGATTAGGATAAGGGCAAGAAACCCCCCAAAGATGTCAGAAAGGAATTGGATGGGGGGTGGGGGGGTACCAGCATAGCCCTGGGAAGATCCAGGAAAGAGACTAGATAGTTTGACAGAAAGCCTCCTCCCTCCCAAGCCCAAAGATATGCAATCAAAGTTTAACCAAGTTCTGTCTCAGTGGCACCCTTTTTCTCACTCTCTCTCTTCAGCAGCTATGTATGCGGATGAAGCACAGCGCCGATCACGGGCTGGCAGGAGCAGAGATGGTGCTGGACTATTGGAGCCTTGAATGCCAGGTTAACGGCATGGGAGCGCTGGGTCCTGGCCCTTATCCTGGGCTTGGTGGGGACAAGTACGGTCCTGGGGCCCCAGAAGCTGGACTTCTTCCACAGTGAGATGGGGCTGAGTGTGAATGAGATGTTGCCTAGGCCCTTTCTTTGTTTTTGCTCCAATAAATCTTGCCACTACACCTCACATCCTCCTATGCATGTATCCCTGAAATGCATTTTCTGTGACACTGTGGAAGAATTCTATTTCCTCTGGCAACAGATTGGCTGATTTCCCTTTCCTGCCTAAGAAGTGCAGAGAGAAAAGGCCTGCTTCAAGAAGAGCTTAGAAGAGCCTTAGCCTAATTTGAATTGAGTATGATAAACAAGGGCTTCAAAAAAGTGTGACCCACCTTCGTCCAGGGATGCCCTTCCTCCAACTTAATCTAGGACACTGTAGAGTTAGTCCCACCCTCTGTCACCCGGTTCTTACCTCTCATCAGACCTATAGTTGCTAAAATTCTCCTTCTCATTTTTGAACCATGCCTTTTCCACCTTCATGTCAAATTTGGCACCTCTAGGATACAAGAATACCAACTTTTCAGCAACGCCATCCTAGACACCACACGCATGCTGTTTTCCAAGGACAGTGATGACTGTACACCGTGAAGGGACAAGGAAGAGCTGTGGTTTATGCAAAGAGAGCTGGGACCTCACCTCCCTTGTCCTCAGAAGTCTTTTCTTCATTCATCTGTCCTCCTTCTGCTGCTGGGTGTATACTCTCAGACTCTGTTTCATCCTCACCCCTGCTGCTTTACTGCCTGCTCATTCCAGCTCCAAATCAGAAACTCCCCTCCTTCCCTCTGCTCCCTCTCCATGGCCCCAAGGCCAGACAGCATTC